TTATGGTCCAGTTTTCCCAGTTGCAATGTATGGCTGTGAAAGCTGGACCATAAGGAGGGCTGAGCGCCGAAGGATTGAGGCCTCTGAATGGTGGTGCTGGAGGAGACTCCTGCGAATCCCTTGGACCGCAAGGCGATCAAACCGGTCAGTCCTAGAGGAGATCAACCCCGACTGCTCTTTAGAAGGCCAGATGCTGAAGATGAAACTCAAATACTTTGGCCACCTGATGAGAAGGAAGGACTCCCTGGAGAAGAGCCTGATGCTGGGAACAATTGATGGCGAAAGAAGAAGGGGGCAGCAGAGGATGAGGTGGCTGGACGGGGTCACTGAGGCAGTCAGCGGGAGCTTAGGTGGGCTCCAGGGGATGGTGGAGGGCAGGGGGGCCTGGAGGAGTGTTGTCCATGGGGTCATGATGGATCAGACACGACTTCACAACTAACAACAACAACATAAGCTGGGCTATTTACTCTTGATGCCGTTCTGCAGCACAGACTTTGAGCTAATGAGGCACCTGTGATCTGTAAAAGGCACCGCCGTGCACAACTGGACAGCAAAGGAGGAGACTCTGCATTCGATGTATTTATTACATGCCCTATTCCTTCCTAGGAAAGGAGCAGGCAGGTTTTGCTTACCAGGTTAGGATGGTGTGTGTACTGTGCTTCATGCTTCAGGCAGAAGTGGGTGCTCATGGTGTGCCAAGTTCACCTGCAGGGGAGAAGAAAAAATGCCCCCCACTTCCGTCATGTCTGCCCTGACCGGCCCTGCACGTCCGGATGAGTTTCCGGACTTCAGCTTGCTCTGTTCCCCAACGTAGGCTTTCTTCCTCTCACAGAGCCCACACGCCACTGCAGACCCCCTCAGCTAGAACAGCCCTCCCTCCCTCAGACTACAACTCCCATCACCCTCCTTCGCTTACAACAAACAAGCCTGCCAGACGGAAATCCCGTGGCGGCAAGAGGACGGGTTTCTTCGCTTGCCTGTGGACAAAAATGCAAGTGGATTTCAGTGGGACTTGTCCGGATGTTTTTTCCAGATAACAGATGATATTTTGCTTCTTTTCCCATCATCCGAAGAAAGGATGCACATGTCCAGCTCCGTAAATACACTCAAATTGGACTGCACTGTATAAACATCAGGTCGTCGCCCGGTCCTTAGCTAGCCGCCTCGTCGTTCATCACAGCCTCCAACCCCAGAGGCTGGTAATGGTCCAGCGCAGGAGGATCGGGAAACGAGGGGAGGCATGGGACGCGTTGTATCCGACACCCCTGCCCCCAGAAGGCCCCCTTGACCCCTCTCTGAGGCCGAGTGCCTGATTTCGGCGAGGCAGGCTGCAGTTCTCCTCACCCTGGCGAGTGGCGCTGGGGAAGGGGCTGAGCACACGGATTCCCAGCTGCCGTCTCCTTGGATCTGGGCCTGTGCGGCACCCTGTCATCGACTGGCCTCAGCCCCCTGCACCTGCCCCCGTCTGCTCTTTTCAGCCCTGGCCATTCGCCACAGCAGCTGTAGGGTCACCGCCGCTGCGCTGAGAATGGCCACCTGCTGCTAATTCATTCCAAGCGAGTCCGCGGCTGCCCTGCGGGTTCGGCTCAGCCCCAGTCCCTTGGATGAGGGACTGGAGGCCAGCGGGCCGGTTCCCGTGGCTGCATCTGCCTGGGGCAAGCTGGCCAAGGGCTGGGCTCGGCCAGCAGGCAAGGAGCAAGCTGCTGCAAGCAGGAGCAGAAAGCCAGCCGGTGCTGGGCTCCAGGGCTTGGGAGGCCTCCGGGCGCCGCTAGGGCCAGGGAGACACGCAGGCGCGAGAAGAGCTCCCGTCTGCGGCGTGTAACCTCTCTCGGTCACGCCCCGGCCGAATCCAGCATCTTCGCCAGGCTGGGGAATCTCGCTAGTTCGGTGGGAGCCCCGCCATAAAAAGCTGTGAGAAGGGAGCAGCCGAGTTCCACCTGGTCCTCTTCACATGGCACCCTCCCGCCCATCTTCCCCAGCAGCTTGTACAGCCAGGCATTCTGCTGCTGGAGGCATCGCCTGCCGCGGTCCGAGTCGGGGACCACCTTGGCCTTCGGTGTGTGGTTGGTGCTGGGGCCCTGGCAGCCCCGTGGGTGGGGAGGAGGGGGAAAGAGGGGAAAGGGGTAGCAGAAAAGGGGGCGATGGAAGAAAAGAGGTGCGGCCCACCAGTCTTTGCCCCGTACCTGCCCACTGCTGGCTCTGACCTCACTCCCCACTGGCACACGGCCCCCACAAGGGAATGAGGCCCCCAACCAAAACAAGGTGGCCCAACTCCGTAGTTAAGGGGTGGTGATGCCAAGCTCCCAGGAGCATGTCAGGGTGAGGCCCAACAGCTGTGCAGGGGTGTCCCCGGAGGGATGGGGTCCCATCCTGACTCGGAGGCGGTGCTCGAGGCAGCTCAGGACACAGCTGGAGGAGAAGGCTAGGCACATCTCTGCTAGGCCCCGGAGGCTCTTCTGAGCCTTTGGGGCACCAGAGACAAAAGCAGCAGGAGAAAAGGGGGGCAGTGAACGGGAACCCCAAGGGCAGGGCTAGAGGAAGCCGCTTGGTTTGCAGCCTGAGAGACTTCCCAGGAAAAAAGCTGCCCAGGCAGGTTTCCCCGAGCTACCCTGAATGCAAGGGCTGCAGTCACCTGACATTCGTTTGGAATCGACTTGCATGTTACAGGCTGGCTGTTTACAGAAGCGAGCAATGGCTTCTGCGAACAATGGTTGCTTCTTTTGGAGCCCTAATCTCGCCGCGGCTGTCCTGCACGGGCTTGCTTCCAAATCGTGACTCCAAGGCCTGCAATGTCTTTTCCCAAAAGGAATGGCAGCTTCCCGGGAAAGAGACTAACTCGGCTTTCCTAGTAGTGTCTCCTCGTTCCTGCGGAATGGAACCCGCCACTGGCTGGCAGGCAGATGCCGGCTCCAACAGAAGAGTTTCCCGTTGGGATTCTAACCCCAGGCGGAAACATCTGCATGGTGAGAGATCCAGCCTTATCAGAGAACATGCGGCTTCCTACATACCAAGAAATACTGGCTGGGTTCATTTGCCCAGAATCTTTCTCATGAGTCCCTCCACTCTGTGTCCGTGGAAGAGGAACGCTGGAAAAAGTCAGCACACCCGAAGGAAAGCCATATGTGCGATCAGGCCATATCAAGTATTAAAAAACCCAAACAAACATGGCTATTGATAGCAGGTCCTTTGAACAACTATTTAGGCATGATTGTGCCTCAGCACAGCACCATCTGACATGGTTCTTGGGCACACTAGAACTCGAAGGGATGTCATAATTCAGATATTTATGACAGTTTACCAAGAAATTCTATCAACAGCGTGGCTACATCCTGTAGGGTGGGGGAAAGTGGATGCTCCATGTTTCTTAGATTTTAATTTAATGGTCATTTCAGTGAATGCAGTGCATTGCCTTGGAATGTGCAGGCAAAGAGCAGAATATCTGTATTTTAAATAAATAAATAAATATTGATTGAAAGTGCATGGCTGGGGAGGTGCATGTTACTCACGTGTATCAAAATGGGCTAAGGAATGTGGATTGTGCTACTATTAACTGTCCCGACCACGAGCGATTCTTAACTATGACTTCTATGCATTTGGAAAAGGTGCCCAATGAATCCGAACTTCAGTCATTCCGGCCTGAAGTGCACTTCCCAGGCTCAAAACTGGTTTAGAAAAGGGCCTTTTGAAATGTCTGTCCAGGAAGGAAATATGCTTCAACATAAGTGCTTAAATGTGCATGCTTTATTCAGCATTGCTGAAGAAATAGTACCCAATGGACTTGGGGTAAACCCCTGATTTACCCATTCCTAAAATGTGAATATGCTTCCCATAAGGGCCAAAGCTTCGGGTGGCTTAAATGGCAGTGGCAGTGGCGTTGCCACTGGGGGCAGTTGCTGAAGGGCCGAACTGCCTGCCTGGGCCTCATGCCCCGCCAGAGCTAACCTGTTGCCCTGCTGGGTGTGGGAAGGTGCAATTCGGTCACCAGTGCTGAGCATGCGTCTGCCTTTCCAGTGGCACTCCAGTCGAGCTCCTGAAGGCACCAGAGAATGGACTGGAGGTGGGCGGACAAGGCCCATGAGAGTGCTTGCTCATCACGATAGCCCGGGGTCCCCAAACTTTTGGGGGGAACAGTGGTCACCTTTGGGAATTTATGAAAAGGGTGCGGCCACAGGATGCCTCGTCAATGGATTGCTGCTTTGGCATCCACCTGGCCCAGGTGTTCAAGGACAGGCTGGACATGCACGTGGTAGGCATGTAATGAGCAGAGCCAGCTGGAGCCGGGGGTCAGACTAGATGGCCAGGGGGGACCCCTTCCGACTTGTTCTGTTTCTTTGTTTCTATGGATCGGAAGCTGCAAAACTAATCTCTTCTTCAGCAAAAATGCTTCTTTCACAGCTGCAGGACACTGCTACGTCTCTCTAACAAAGGATGGTCTAATTGCTGGTGGGCAATGCAGCCAGTGCTTTTTTAAAACTTATGTTCTGGCCATGTCAAGTACAGGATTCCCTTGCTTAATGCAGTTTTGATTAATGCAGGTTTTGATTAACAGGGTAACATTATAATTGTGACAATCCCTTGATATACACAGCAGAGTTTTAATTAACACGCTGTTTTAAATTTGCCCCAACAGTTGTGGGCATGATGACGTTATTCCTTCCACCCAGCTGTGATCTCAAGGTTCCTGCAAGGTCAACGATGGCGATGTTTGTACTACAAACACCAATTATTTGTTCTAAGTTTTAGAAGCCATTGACCATGTTGAAGAATCAGAGCACCGGGCCATCAAGCGAAACAAGGAAAAGGGAAATATCCTTGCACACAAACCTTGATATAATTAAAAGATTTAAAAGTGGTGAAAGATTGTGAGCGAATTTGGCTTTAATAAGTCAACAATACAGACAATTGTAATTTCTACCATTGATTATTAGATTTGATCGACACAGTTTTGATATACGCAGCAATATTGTGTGATCAATTAACAGTAGGAATTGAGGGATATCTGTGGTTGCTTCTTTCTGGGAGGAGGTTATTATAGGGCCAAATTTTGTACTGGAACAGTCCTTGCATTCACAGCAGCATGAAATTTATCCAATGGAAGGGGAAATGGATTCTGTGCTCGCTTCCCACACTGCACTGAAATGAGGACTTTGTAATCCTTCCAATGTGTGATGCCAACCTCAAACGGATACTCGCGGCCCATTGTCACAGAAGCTTATATGCTACATATGCATTTCATACCAATCCTTGTGCAGATATGAAATTCAACAGAAAAAAATAACAGGCCCCAGAAGTTTAGGACAAAGCAACCTAAGAGGGAAATGAGAGGAAAGCCAAAAACCAGGAGCCACCGCTTCCTGGATGTTCCACTGCCATTTGGTGACCCTCCGGTTCTGTGGAAGAAACAGCCAGGCCTCAGTAGCACCCAGCCCCAAATCGCAGGATGATAACGGCACCTGGTACCTGGCGATGTGGGAGCGACCCACGGCGGTGCAGCCGTCTCGGTCGGGAGCGCTGAAGAATGATCCTGCCTGCTGCAGAACGCCGGGGGTGTGTGAGCCGGAGCCCCGTGGGCCTCTGGAGGCATGGCCTGTGCCGAGGTCCCCCAAAGCGCCCTGCGAGGGAGGGATTTCATTGGTGGGCAGCGGATGGAGCAGCCAAGCCTCAGTGCCGCCTGTTTTGGAGAGGAGGGTTCTTCGGCAGGCATCCGGAACAATGCTGTGAGCAACAGTTGAGACCGTTATGCGAAATGCTGCCGCATTCCAGAGCTAGAACAGGGAGCTCTTTGTTCAGTTAATGCACGTGGAAGGGGGAACGTTGAGAGGTCCTTCCATCCCTGTCCATGCTCGGAGATCACCGAGGGGGGACAGTCATGTTTTCTTGCCAGCAAGGGCAGCTCGGCTGCTGCGTCCAAGAAAACAGGACGTCTTGGTGGTGACACCATGCCTTCAGAGCCAACTCCCCTTGGAGGTCATCCAGCCCCGTCCTCGCACGTCCTCAGAAAGCTCGGAAATGGATAGACTGACTTTGTCACTGAGGGAGAAAGAAGATGCAGACTTTTATCAAATCTGGGATTCTTTTTATTATTGGCTAGAGAAACGGGACTATGCATAGGCTTAAATATGTTTATAAGGTAAAGTAAAGGTAAAGGTTTCCCCTTGAGGTGAAGTCCAGTCATGGCTGACTCTGGGGGGCGGTGCTCATCTCCATTTCCTGGCTGAGGGAGCCAGCGTTTGTCTGCAGACAGTCTCCATGGTCACGGGGCTGGCATGACTAAACACCGAGGTGCGCGGAACGCTGTTACCTGCCCACCAAAGTAGACCTTTTCATCCACTTGCATTCGCATGCTTTCAAACTGCAAGGTCGGCAGGAGTTGGGACGGAGCAACAGGAACTCACCCCGTTGTGCAGATTTGAACTGGCGACCTTTCCATCAACCTGCCCAGCAGCACAGCGGTTTAAACCACTGCGCCACCTGCAGTCCCTAAATATGTTTATAGTTTAACATAAATAGAAAAAATGTGGGGGGCTGACCCAGTAGGTCTGATGTTTTTGATGACTGATGCTTCTTAGTTTCTTTTTGTTAGGTATATTAAGAATAAAACTTATTCACAAAAAAAGAAAAAAAAGAAAAAAAAAGCTCGGAAAACCCATCTATTTTGCCAGCCCTCCGGTGACGTATGGGCTTACAGATAATTTATGATTTTATTCATGTTTCCTTGTTTGCTGCTGGTTTTGCAGATAAGCTATGTTTTTATTCATGTTTACTGGCATTCAATTTTTGCAGAACCTTGACTGAAAATGTTTGCGATGGGCTTGTTGGTGTTACTTTGCTTTTTCATAAAATCCCATCTACCAGGGTTCCAGGGTTGTGCAGAAGTAATGAGGATCGATGCGAAAAGACCTCCTGAAACTCACCCCTTCTTTACATGAAAGAGGAAGGGTAGATCAATCTTTTTTTGGAAAAAAGAAGAAGGCTTTGCCCATGCTGCACACAGAGGAGGGAAAGAACAAGCTCTTCTCTTGCACACCCACACTTCCAACACGTGCTTTATTTTTCCCACATCTTCTTTTAATTTCCACTTCCTTTTCCTCCGTTCCGCTCACCTTCTTTCTTTCTCTTTCCTTTTAAAAATTACAGCAAACCCGAGGGATGCGTTCCCCGCCTTCTCTGCCCCCCCCCCCCGACTCTCTCTTCCCGATGTTCCCAAATCCACAGGCTGAGTTGCTACTGCTCCGGAGACTCACCAGCTCTCTGCAAAGAAGCGTTTATGACTTCCAAAAACCGGGAGGACTTTCCCCACGCAAGCGTCCCAGGCATGAGGGATTTGCCGACTAACATCATGGAACTGGCACAACACGCTCAGCAATTGCAGTTGCAGCGAAAGAGAGAGCCTCGGTTTCCCGGAATCGCTGCGTCTTCCTAGCAATCAGCTCAGCTGTGTGAAAGTGGCGATTTACTCCTCTTGGAATTCCAGGAACGCACACGGAGATTCCCAGGGCGAGCCCTCCCGTTGCATGCTGCCTGTGCCACATGCTGCCTGCGGAGGTGCTACTATCCAGGTATACTCTGGAGTAAACAGAGATTGGCATATTCAGCACGTTCGCTGACCTCCTTCCGCGTCTTGCTTGCAACTGCAACGCCTCACCTGACTCGGAGCGAGCGCAGCGCTGGGCGTTCCCGTGGCTTGCTTCCCGTTTTAAAATGCTGAGGAAATGCTTTCCTGGCTGCACCATGGATTGGGGGGGTCATGGGCATATACAGAGAGCTTGTCAATGGTTCTCAATCAAACTGAAGAAAGGGTTTGAGCGAGTGCTGAACAGTTTGGTCCTGCACCCCAAATTCTTCCACATTTCCATTAATGACCTGGCGGAAGGGGTGCGGGGGTGCTTCTCGGATTTGTAGATAGCACCAAATCGGGTGGGATAGCTTATACCTTGGCCGGCATAGCCCAATCCGGGTTCCACTCCCCGCTTGGCCAAGAGGTTCACTGAGATACTTTGGCCCAGCCTAGCCTACCTCACAGGGTTGTTGTGAGGATTAACAACACTGTGTGAGCTGCGTCAGTCAGTCACCTCAGGTTCCTTACAAGAGGAAGAAAGGTGGGATATAAATGCATAACAACAGTAACGATAATTTAAAAACTCAAAAGCACAGGTATAAAGGTGCTTTATACCAGGCTTGGCCACAGCGTGTGTGAAAAGGATCTTGGGAGCTGTAGTCCATTCCAAGAGGAGCGCGTGTGAGCCTTTTAACGGCGCTGCAAAAGAGACAAGAGCAAGCTTAGGTCGCATCCACTGAAACACCCCTTGTGGGCCAAGGAAAGGGCCTTCCATGCGATGTTCGGGCGCTCAGACCTTCTCGCAGTCCCGGACAACACACTTTCGAAGGACTCCGATCTGCTGGAACGAGTTCAGGGGCAGCGACCAAGATGGTCAGGGAACCAGAAGCTAAATCGTGGAAGGAGCCGAGTAGGCTTGTCCTTGAGGAGAGAAAGGTGTGGGACAAAGAACGCCCCTTTTCGCCTTTTCTTGCAGCTAGTCACGCAGAAAAGCTTGAGGCTCTTCTCTGCCGTCCGAAAGTGCATTTTTCCATTCCGTTCCCTTCGCAGCCCAGGTTTTCCCCCTCCCCTTGCTAGGAAGCCGAGCCCCATTGTAGCCTCAGAGCAACAGCACAGCCAGGCTAAGACCTTTTTATTTATTTTAACTTAGCTTATTTTAATTGTTAATTTATTATGCATTTATAGGATTTTAAATTTTTAGCCGAGATGTTACCGGGCTTTTTAATCTTTCTTGTATTTAGTGTTATTAATATGTTTTTACTTATGTTGTGAGCCGCCCGGAGGCTTTGTTGCGATGGGGGCGGCATAGAAATATTTTAAGTAAATAAACCCAGAGGCCAAGCGCCCCAAAGAGGTGTGCCCCCCATTCTTTCTGCATCAGGTGCGGAAGGTTTTATTCTCCCAGCGTTTTAACCATTTAACCTGTCAACTTTGGCTTTATATATTGCGTTTTATTCTGTAGCACTGCTTTGCTTCTATGCCGATTCAGTTCCAATTGCTGCTAGGCTTTTGTTTTAAATTAATGCGCGTGTCCTTTAAACTGTTAATTGTAACTTTTGACAAGCGTCCAGAGAGTGCCATTGCTGTTGGTTGGGAGAAAACGGAAATGGACAACCACCCTGTGAGGTAGGCTGAGCTGAGAGACTTGTCACTGGACTCGGGGAGTTTGGGGGCTGGGTGGGGACTAGAACCCGGATCTCCTGAGTCCTGGCCCCTCACTCCGGACCACGGGACCCCCCTGTAGGGCTTTACACGACAGGCTTAATTTATGGATGAGGAAAACGAAGCAGCAGTGGGAGACGTTGGAATCCCCACCTAGGGCTGGGGGGTCCCCATCACTTGGGGCTTCCAGGCCGCGGTTGGGGCACCGTCAGAGAGGCTTTAAGGCCGATCCCCGCACAGAGTTGCACCTGACTCCTAAATCCATGATTTCGCACACGCGTGATCAGAGTTTCTTTTTCAGTTAAGGTCCAAGATCAGCCACAAATCTTTGGACTAAAACAGCCGCGCTCGTAGGACATCCCCCCACGCGCAGACACCACCCCTCGCGCTTCGTGCATCTTGCGTCCCTTCACGAAGTAAGTGCCGGTTTGTCAATGGGGCGCTCGCTGCGTCCTCCCCATTCGCTGGCGCAGCGCAGCTTCGGCGGGCGGGCGAAGGCGCGGCGCTTCCCGGGGCGCACAGACCGCGCTTGCCCGGCCGGGCCCGGCGCAAAGCCGCCGCAGCCCGCGCCCCAAGCAGGGACCCCGGAGCGCCTTGCCTGCGGGGCGCTCTGCCCACGCGCCGGAGCCCCGTGCCCGCGCCAGGCAGGCGGCTCCCTCGGTGGAAAGCGAAAGCGAAAGCGGCGCCTTCGGCCAGACGCGCCGCTGGCCCGCCGGGTGCAGACGCCGCCGGGGCCCGCGGAGCCGCCGTTCCGCCGCATGGCCCGGCCGCCGCCGCCGCCGCTGCTGGCGCTGCTGGGCGCGCTGCTGGGCGCCTCGGGCT